CTGACGCACTTGATCAACAGCGCCATCGGCCCACCAACATAAGCGCGCCCCCCCCCCCCAAAGGCGCAGGACACGGGGCTCCAGGCATCAGGGACTAGCCGCCGATGGTGGGGGGGCTAGGGAAAGCCATCCGCTGGCACACTTGATCGCAGCACCATAGGCCCACCGCCCCAAAAAAAAAAACCATCCAAAGGTGCAGGACACCAGGGTCCAGACATTAAGGGCCAGCCGCCGATGGAGCGGGGGTGGGGGCCTGAAGTACGCAACCCGCTGGCACAATGCTCAGCGGCATCATGGGCCCACCTACCAACATGAATACACCCCCCTTCCAAAGGTGCAGGACGCCAGGGTCCAGACATTAGGGGCTAGCCGCAGATGGGGGAGGGGTCCACGCACCAGGGTCAGCAGCACGCGCGCATCATGAAAAAGTTTGTCGCAAGCGCCGCTGGCGAGATGGAACAAAACTGATGGGCATACCTGCGATCATCATCACGATTTGAGAACGCCGATCCACGCCGAGAGTTCTTCTTCCACGCACATCCGGCAGGGGCCGAGCCAGAGGCGACCGCCAACCCGAGCTGCTTGAACGGGTCGGTCAGCACATTCTCCATTACCTCGTCGCTCACCGAGAATACGATCTTGATCATGTCTCGCTGGCAGCAATTTTCGAGACGGAGTGACTTGACGCGGCCCGGCGCGCCCCCCACCATCGCCGTGGACCAAGCTTCCGGCGCCTGCCCGTTGGCCCGCCCGACATCTTCCTCGCCCAACGCTTCGACCAGGGCCGCGGGCGCTGTCGCCGCGGGAAAGCCCAGCTCGCGCAGCTCCTTCTGGGCTTCCCCGCCCCGGCTTCCCCCTTTGACTCCGCCCCTTGTCGCCCGCGCCCTTGGCCTTTGCATCGTCCTCTAACTTCTTGATCCGCCCCCTCAGCGCCTGGGCGCCCGCCGCGAAGTTCTTGTTCTCGCCCTTCATCGCCTTCGCCACCTTGGGGCCCTCCTCCGCGATCGCGGCCTTCGTCGCCATGCCCCGCATGGCGCGGCCCCTCTGGGTAAGTTGCGCGACCTGCGTGGCCAGGGGGAGCAGCAGCTCGCGCAAGCCGCCGCCCGTGGTCGCCAGCTTCCTGTCCTTATCGGCTCGCCGACGGCGGGCGCCGCCGCGGAGGGCTGGCGCCGCCCGGGCTGCCACCTCCTCGCTGCCTGCTGCTCCTCGCGCGACTCGCGCCCCGTCCCCGGCCTTCTGCATTTTGGGACCTTCGGGCTCGGACTGCTGCCCGCCAGCAGCTGGCGGCCGAGAGGGGCCCGCGTTCCTGGGTCCGCGCCAGGTGCCCCGAGGCTGCCCCACCTCCATCAGCGCGACCCGCACGAAGCCGACGGAGGTCGCCCCCAGCGACAATCAGCCCTGCAGTAACACGCGGCTCGCTGCCAAGAGCACGAGGAGGCGCCGCGGGCACAGGAGGCGCGATCGCGCGTCAGCGCGGGCCGCGAGGCTGCCGCGGCGGTCGGGGCTCGACCGCAGCAGTCGGGGGCCCCGCCGCTGTCGGCGGCAAGCGCGGGCAGAGGTAGCCGCGGAATGATTGATGCGATGAACATGCACTACCACGCAGCATGCACTTGTAATGTGCGTGTCCTTGCACGCGCACGGGCGCGCCGCGTTGTTACGCGTGCAGTGCCCTGCGCGCCGAGCTCGCGCAGGGCGTCGCGCTGCTTCCGCGATTCGGATGTATGGCACCGAAGCTGATGCACGCGCTCGCAAGTGTGATAAGATGGGACATGCTTATTCCGCCATGTTCCCCCCCCTTGGCTCTGTGTAGCATGTGCTACAAGTACCGCTCGTGACTTGAACGACGCTCCACGACGCGACCCATCCCCCATGACGCTGGCGCATGCCAAGGACGGAGATTGATTATCCCACGTCACTTCTCCGTCGAGCTCCGCAGGTGCGGAATCCGTCAGCGACGCAGGGGGCTTCCACGCAGTTGCTGCGAAGGCCGTCCGCAAGGAGCGCGGATCGAAAGCCAAGAAGTGGCAGTTCACGTCCGCGTCCCAGAGCAGATCTTGGATATCGCCACTCCACGCCTCCACAAAGTCCTCTGCATCAGGGTGGCCTAGGACAATCAGCATATCGCGTTTGATTTGTGCCAGCCACGGGCGCGTCGCAGGGCTGTCATTCAGCTTGCACGTTGGCGCGAATGCAGTTTGGCAAGCAAGCTCCGCCGCGAGCTCCCACTTCATTTCTCCAAAGAACACCGACAGGAAATGCGAATGGTTCACGCGATCCCGAACCACACCCTGCTGCGCCTTCAGCCTCTGGACAGTCGCCTCCAGCGCAAACGGCACCAGCTGCCAGTAACGGTAGACCTCCCGAGACGTGAGCAAGCGAACCTGATCGTCCATTAATGCAGCCGCACCTCCCATCGTCGAGCGCAGTTCTTTGCACCGGTGATGAGCAAATGCTGCGGTGCTCGCTCCCCGTCCAAGCCATCGCGATCGTGCCAGACAAC